GGCGTGACATTCATGCCCTTAAGTCCCACGTTTGAGAAGTACGAAGTGGAACAGGAGGTGAGGGCTGCCGGCGCTGACGTAGTCATGACATCCGCTCAAGACTTTCATAAGTTTGAGTGGGTTTTGGATGACTCGCGAAATGACAATAAAAATCGCGTAAAACTTGTGGTCATATTTGATGGCAAACACGATAAGCACGTGACTTATGAGCAGCTCCGGGATGAGGGAAAAGGCCGGAAATTGTCACAAATACCACACTTCGATGTAAACCCCGAGAAAGACATGTTATTTCTCATACACACGTCTGGCACTACCGGTGCACCAAAATGTGCCATGATCCCACATCGTTGTGTATTAAACAAAATGAATATCCCCAATAGGGGTACTGGATTAATAACCTCGCTGATATATCCCATGGGACACAAGATAGGGTCTTCCAGATTACCCGCTATGATAATATCAGGATCAAAATTGATATTGTTTGACAGTAATAACGCTGAACATATAGCGCAATCTGTTGAAAAATATGGCATTCAAAATTTGGGAATATTCCCGCACACTGGGAAACAAATGGTGGATCAAGGATTACTGGATAAATACGACCTGTCCACTCTGAAAATCATAACCAGTGGCGGAGCTGCTTTTCCGGCTAACTGTGCGAGGGCTTTCATCGATAAATTCAAATTGTCTTTTCGAGAAGGTAATTTTTAACTAAAATATAAATTAATTTAATTAAGACTGCTTAAATTAAAATTTTCATTATTTTAAACTTATTTTTAAATCATTCATTTAATTTAAGTAAAACTTATTACTGAAATTATGAACATGTTAAATAAGTAGTAGTAAGTTGTCTTATAATATAAATCCATAATTATATTATAAGCTAATATTAGAATTCTTACCAAAAATTAGCTTGCACATAATTATCACGACATGTATAATTAATAATTAGGTATAAATATAATTAAATTAAATGTATATTGGGCTAAATATTTTAGGCTACGGTATGACCGAGTACCCTGCTCTAGCTAGAAACCGGGGTCAGGGAGAGTACATACCGGGTAACTGTGGACGAGTCAGTGCGGGTACGGAGGTTAAGGTCGTCGACTTGACTACAGGTGAAAGTCTGGGCCCTAATACCGACGGAGAGATATGCGTTCGCGGAGTCAATCTGATCGCCGGTTACCTCAATAACCCGAAGGCCTGGGAGGCGGCGGTGGACGGGGAGGGCTGGTATCGGACGG